CACAACACGTCACGAACTGCTTCCCCTGTGCCCCCTCTGGCTCCGCCCCCCCCCCCCTTCCGCCCTCTGCCCTACTGCAGGACTTTTAGTGCGCCCTCCCTATGATCCTCAACGCTCAAGAAGTTACGTGGACCCCGAGTTTCCTGCATAGGTACACCGTCCTTCTCTTGTGGCGTGGAATGTTATACCGTCTTCAACTCGAGGGTTAATGGGGATTTTGTGGTGAAATTTGGCCAGTTAAAGGTTGTGAAGAGTTTATAGTCGTGTTCATCGCTTGGACCTCACAAAAATGGACATATTTTTCAGTCGGTTTATCATAAATGTAGATGATAAGCTTTTGAAGCGGTTGTAGATTGTCCCATTGAATGTGAAACTAACTGTAGGTATGTGGTTTCCTATTTTAAGGATTTATACATTGACCAACTTGTTGGTTTCTGCGAATTACCTTCTTTGCAACATGATGTAGTTGGTAGATATTCGGTATATTTCAGCATGCATTGAAGCTAAATAATTACGCTGAATAGGGGCCTACATTTACTTGGCGTTTACTTTTGTGGCAGCTTTTGGTTCTGCGACTTCTTTTTATGCTGCTTATTTCGCTGAAAGTGTATTTTTCGTATTGCTGCTGTCTGCTGTTTAGTGTTTCGTGGTTTTGAAGGATTTCGTCTACCCTTGTGGGCTGTTAGTAGTAGTAAGCCCTAATAGGCTCGGTGGATCTTTAGCAAATAAACACATGATTATCGCAGTAGGATTACTTTAATGAATGTTATTGTATTATGCATAAAGCCACAATCGGGAGGTATTTGCAGGCCACCTTGACAGTGTGGTCTGCAAGCCTGCGGCCGCGCGTCATAACGGGCCTAGCTAAATCGTCCGTGAGAACACCTGTTTATCAGGGTTTTCGTAGAAGGCTGAGGGTCATAAACCGCCCGGTTCCCACTGGGGCATTCCACGTCAAATCGAACAAAAATCGGCTGTTTTGCACCTTACCATCAGCGATTTCATTATAAATTTGTGAGCGAGTTCCTGTGTCGCCCCGAACATTACATTGATGTTTTTTGCACATTCTGACCACAGGTCTTCTAAATATAGGGCATCGAATTTTTACAAAATGTTGCATCTTTATATTTTTAAACGACCATAACTTTGGTTGTACTTGTTTGTTTTGAATGAAATAAACCTTACTGTTTAGGTAATTTCTTAAGCATTTGTTTAGAATTGCACCTACTTAAATATATGACCTTGAAATTTGCTTAACTCTGTTCTTAAGCACAAAAATTGAAATAGCAAAAAACACGTCACCTTCGATTTGGCTAATTTTCATATATTTTATTGCCTACCATATTCTTAACAACCTGTGAAAAAATTAGAGTGGGCCATTCATAAGTTTTGAAGAAAATGGCACATATGCAAACGTATGTTAGCACGCGCAGTGGAGGGGGAAGAGTGAATTTCGCCCCACCCCTCCTGTTTTTCGCCAATATCTCATAGTATTAATGCGAAATTAATTATAGCTGCCCGTCCAAAATTGAATTGCACATCTCATCGTGCAAGCAAGAAGAAAATCGGTTCACAACTGGTCTAGTAATATAGCGGTGTAAAGTGAACATCCTGTCGCCGCGGCGACTCGGCAGCCGGCGCCGACCGCTAGCCGCCGCCTGAATTGTAGACTGTGCCGGGACGGAACGGAACGGTTCCGTCTTTACATCGCGCTCCTTACCGCTGATTACGTTCGATTCGCGTCAAATTTTGTGAGAAGACTAAGAAATGTACAGGAAATCTTATGGTGTAAGAATTTTGAAAATCGGTTGGTTAACAATTGAAATATGAACGTGTAAACACAAAATTGTGATTGCTGCGTTTCCCGCGTCGGCCGATCCCGCCTCAGCCGGCGACATGTTACTCTTAGCAGGTCTCTAACTGCCATATTTATTATTTGATTAACTAGAAATTCCCCATACATACTCAAAAATGTATATTCTTTCGTATAGTGAAGATAAAAAGACGAAGATATCGTTGCGTGATAATGTTTTCGTTGAATTTTTGGCTTCATGATGCATTTCCACACGGCTCAAAATTCACCGCAAAATACCGTTTGCCTGAGACACTTTTACTATGGAACTTGAATGCTTGACTACGATGACTATGTATTTCCATTCTCGCAGAGTTTGGGATATCACTAATCAGCAATCATTCATTTCAGAAAGTGTACACAAGCAAGCATGTCTTGACTCTGTCTTTCAAGGTCACGCGCGGTTGCGTGATGTTGATGCATGAAAACGGCGTTTGCCGCGAGAGTTATGAATGGCCCACTCCAATTTTTTCACAGATGGTTAGGAACATTGTGACGGACATAATATGCAAAAATTACCCGAATCGAAGGTGACGTGTTTTTTGCTATTTAAATTTTTCTGTTTTAATTCAAGGTCAAATGCATTTCAAGGTCACTTCAATTTAATTTTATAATTAACAATCAAAGCCTTATCAATTGCCTATAAGACCCTGTTAATATCATTTCGATACCAGAAAAGGAACCAGAGTTATAGACATTTAAAAAATTGATGTGTGGCATTTTTGGCTATATTCGATGACCTATATCTCAGCGATACTTTATCAAATTTCGAAAATATTATACGTAACTCAGTTTTGAACCATGCCCAGTCTGCCTACAAATTTTCAGAAAAATCGAAGGGGATGACGGATTTCGGTGTTTGATTTGACGTGGAATGCCCCCACTGATCTGACAATTTTATTACCCGATAATTTCGTCATTTTGTATTGCCCTCGGTTTTTCATTTCTTTAATTGAAGTCAATTAATAAAAGCAAAATTATTTAGCATGCTCCGTGTTCGGCTCTGCCCGGCTGATCACGTTGCTGACTTTGTCATGGTCTCCGCTGCCCGCTTTGCCGAACTATTGCATCATGGTGTATGTGTCGCGGTGCGACTGCCTGGCCTCCAGACGACTCCCAGTGGGGGGTCGTGACCCCCCCCCCCCCCACGTGGGGAGAGGTGACGCGGTCCCTAGACGAGCCGCCGTGGCTGTCGCTAATTGGATGAACGCTGCAGCTCGGCTGCCAGGGGCGCTCTGAGGTCAGCGCCGTCGTCGGTGGTCATCCAATAGGTGACGTCATTGCTGGTGAACGTGACGTCATCGGTGACAAAGTGGAGCAAATGGAGGGGGATGGCCGGTTCATTCCGTGCGCTGTCGTCCTAATTGCCTGTAATTTTTGATAATTAATAAGTACAAAGCTTTTAACACTGCTCTTCCCTCCCTCTCCCTCTCCCTATCCCTCGCTCTCCCTCCCGGCCTCTTTTGCTCTTCCTCTCGCGCTCTCTCCCTCCCCCAGGGAGCTCACGGGCGGTCTCTGCCACCCCGCTGTCCCAGTCGCCAGCCATTACCGCGCGATGATTGCACTTAATTAGCGCCGTCTCTGCTGAGCGCCGCCCCCGCCCCCGCCCCCGCCCCCGCCCCCGCCCTGGTGCTGCTCAGACAGCGAGATGAATACAAATGAGGTAACGTGCACGGTGTGACGCCGTTTAGTCACGTGACCCGGGGTGCGGTCAGTGTGGCGGGTCACGTGATGTGGGCTGTGTCGAATGGAGGCAGTTCAGTGACTGGATGGACCACGTGGCAATTGGACTCGACTTTGTTAGGTGGAGGTCTGATGAATGGTCATGTGAGATGAGACTGACCTCATGGACCTGAGTCTGACAGTAGTTCCGTGTTGCTGAATCCAATTGGTGCTGGGTTTTCCAATTGGTGCTCCGTCATATCGTTCGTTCGGAAGCCATGCTCCAATAGAGCACCGCTTGATTTCCTGGGAAGCACGGTTCCGCCCGCAGCAGCCACCGCAGTAACCACAGCGTTCACCACCTGAGTGGTCTGTCTCTGCTGCCTGCGGGCACTGTCGGCGGCGGCCTGACCCCGGCGGTGACCTCCCTCCAATAATCACCGCCCGGGGCGGTTCTGGGTGACCTCGTCAGACGGTCACCGCTCCAGACGTGACCTGAATTCCGCCCGGGGCGGTCCCCAGAGCGGTTAGCGGCCCAGCTCCGCGAGCCAGCTGCCGCCTCGCCGCGGGCCGCCGCTGTGGGAACTGGGAACTTCATATCTCGACGGGAGCTCCCGAGCAGATGCGGCCGCGGACGTAATTCAAGTACACTCTCTGGCAGTGAGACCGTGGGCGGGTTTGGACCGCCGCCGGCCGTGAGTGAACAGCAGAACTGGTACCGCCTAATTGGCATTCAGCGCGACGTAAACGATACATATCCGAGACAGAGGGAGGGAGGGCGTAGGGAGAGGGAGGGAGGCGGTCAGGTATTCGGAGCACGTGAGCTCGGCGGGCTGGTCGAGGCCCGTATCGCGGCCCGATCTCGACGGGCTGTGCTGATCGCCATCCTCCGGTCCAAGTCCAACTCAATAGGCCTGCTGGCCGCTCTCAGGGCAATGTCAGCCACCGTCCCCAGTCCACGAATATATCGTCCAGCAGACCGAGAGGCCACCCTCCCGGACGTCGGATGGTGCGCCACCTTTTGTAACCTTCGCGCCACAACTGCCGCCGCCGCGGGGCTCCGGCCCACCGGCTGGCGGCTGTAGCGGAGTCTAATGATCGGGAAGCTGCCCGGCGGCGGTCGCGGCCGCTCCTGACCTTGTCACCTCACCGGGCGGCGCGGCGGCGGCGCGGCGGTGGTGGTCACGCTTGGAGTCCGTCACGCTCTGATGCGTCCCCGGCGGCAGTGTGACGATGGACTGTGAGAAGCTGTGTTATGTGTCATGACACTATGTGACGCCGTGTGACGCTGTATGTAAGGCTGTGATGACGTGTTATGCGTCGTGACACTATGTGACACTATGCAGTGTGCTGTGTCACGACACTCGTGATGCAGTGTGCTGTGTCGCTGCGCCTTGTCACATCTCGCATTGCTGTGACGCCGTGTGACACTGTGTTGCTATGTGGTGTGACTCCCATGTAACGCCGTGTCTTCTTGTGTCGCCAGGTCGTACAGTTTCCACGTCGGAGCCGATGGTCAACTGCAGCCCGTGACATTCCCCCAGGACGCCCTGCTGGGCCCCGGCATCCCGCGCCACGCGCGCCAGATGAACACGCTCAGTCACGGAGAGGTGGTGTGCGCAGTCACCATCTCCAACCCCACCAAGTTCGTCTACACGGGCGGCAAAGGCTGCGTCAAGGTCTGGGACATCGGACAGCCCAACGCCAAGACGCCCGTTTCGCAGCTCGAGTGTCTGCAGAGGGACAACTACATCCGCTCGGTGAAGCTCCTACCTGATGGACGTACTCTGATTGTCGGTGGTGAGGCCAGCACTCTCAGTATCTGGGATCTAAACTCACCCACTCCCCGGATCAAGGCCGAACTCAACTCCTCGGCTCCGGCGTGCTACGCGCTGGCCATCTCTCCCGACTCGAAGGTGTGCTTCAGCTGCTGCAGCGACGGCAACATCGCCGTCTGGGACCTGCACAACCAGCAGCTGGTGCGCCAGTTCCAGGGGCACACGGACGGCGCCTCGTGCATTGACATTTCGTCCGACGGCAACAAGCTGTGGACGGGCGGTCTGGACAACACGGTGCGCTCGTGGGACCTGCGCGAAGGTCGCCAGCTGCAGCAGCACGACTTCAGCTCTCAGATCTTCTCGCTGGGCTTCTGTCCGACCGGCGAGTGGCTGGCCGTCGGCATGGAGAGCTCCAACGTCGAGGTGCTGCACGTCAACAAGCCCGACAAGTACCAGCTGCACCTGCACGAGAGCTGCGTGCTCTCGCTCAAGTTCGCCCAGTGCGGCAAGTGGTTCGTCTCCACCGGCAAGGACAACCTGCTCAACGCCTGGAGGACGCCGTATGGCACTTCTATTTTCCAGGTGAGTCTCGGCGCTTCCTGTTATAAAGGCTTATCTCTGAAATAGCTACATTTTTATTCACTATCGAACACAATATCCTCGCCCCTAATTCAAACCAGTCGATGCCTCTACACGAGAGGAATTTCAATGAGGATGCCTCCCCCTCTAATAACGTCGATTCATATCTCTAAAACATCGATCGAGCTCCGGTTTTTCTTTGAATCGACCTTTGTCTGGCGTGCCTTTGTCCGTGGCTGCTGGTGGCGAAACCTTGTACCTAATGAGCGGCGCGCCGCCAGTGGCGCCGGCCGGCCGTTAAAACGGCTCGTCACTGCCGGCCGGCGAGCATTAACACAGCCGATCAATCTGTGATAGCGCACCCTGATTGGTCAATTTGGAGGCCGATACGGCTCTGATTGGTCAATTGGCGCCGCCGCTGCTGTCCCGCCGGCTAACATCTGGTGTGCCTTATGGCCAAACCGAGCGAGCGCGGCCTAATGGAAGAGTTAACTGGCGAATAATTGACGCCGACTGATGAACAGAAATGGCTGTTTGCTCTCTGTATTGTGTTTAGGTGGGAACTACTGGGTTTTTTCTCTATCGTTTACAGAGAAATTAAATACTAGCGCTATCACCGAGAAAGTGCAGCGATGATTGATTGTTGACTCAGCGGGTATAATCCTCTTAATATCTGTTTGGAAGTGCAACGTAGCGGTTTTCAGATCCAACCGCAGTTGCCATTTATCTAACAACCTCGTGTCTCTTCTTCCCAGTCGAAGGAGTCGTCGTCGGTGTTGAGCTGCGACATTTCCGCCGACGATAAGTTCATCGTCACCGGCTCTGGAGACAAGAAGGCCACCGTCTACGAAGTGATCTTTTAAAACTGCGTGCGGCGAACGACGGACAATGTGTGATGACGTCACAAAAGCCGACGCTGGCTCGTTGATACTCTGACGTCATATGACCGATATTGTGACGTTGTGACCGGCAGTGAAGTGACGTGGGCTCTGGTGGGTGATTGTGTGCGAGGAAGTGCCAGCACAACGGTTTTGATGTTTGGAGCACTTGACGTACTGTTTGAGCACTGTGTTATCGACAACTTTATGGCTCGGAGAGTTTTCCGCGGATGCGAAGTTGCGATTGGTTTTTGACACTCCGTGCTGGAGGTCTCTGGAGGAGTGTTCCAGAGTGTTGAGTGTCCCGGAGTGTCCGGCTGGTCGCTGAGTGCCGTTTGTGTGTCACTTGTGCTCGGACCATATTGGTTCGACATCTCTCAGTTGATTTTTTGGTCTGACTGCGGCCGGCACACACGACCACGGAACCAGGCGAGACTCCAGGAGCGGGACGGTCTCTCGCATCGTGCCATGGTCTGGGTATTACGTTTTATCGGTTACTGGACGGGCGGTGTTTGGTGTGGTGGCGTGTCAGAGGCTGTATGCACAGAGAACCCAGAGCCGTCGGACCGGGGTGCGACCTGTTGTCGAAGCGACCCGGTTAGGTCGAACCTGACGCCCTGTTTCCCATTCAGTGCTAGTACAAACTATGTCGACGTGAGCGAATGCTGTGAGAATGTGAGAGCGTCTGCCCGGACGGGTGACGGTGAGAATGGGAGTGTGTTTGGGGGTGTAAGCGCCGGTGTAAAGTATATGTACAGAGGTCTGGGCGGCGCTATTTGGGGGCGTATCACAGCGCACGGGACTGCTGGATCTCCTGACGGCAGTTGACATAGGCAGGCGCGCTGGTTTCCGAGCGAATGTAAATAAACCGTGAACATAGTCACGCTGTTGTCTCCATTGGGACTCTCGGGCCTGTTCTGCCTCCCAACCCATGGCTGGGGTCGCTACAAGGGCGTCGAATCGCTCACATCACATCATTATCACATCATTATCACATGGTTATCACATCACATCCATGCACTGCAGATGCAAGATTGCAGCTAGCACCAGTGGTCGAGATTGGTAGGCTGTCCTCTTACGGTTACAACATGCCTCCGAACTCCTTATCAACTGACTTCAGCGGGTAGAAGGACGTGTCAGTGAACAACTTCGAACACGGCTCTCCTGCCCTCTCAGACTTTCCGGTCGCCTAAATAGCGCTGTCGGACACTGAACAGATCGTTCGGGATGTGTCGGCCTGCTGCAGACCGTCTCTGGGCAGTGGTCGCTTCTGTCAGCGACATATGGTAATGGGTGTCAGCCGCTGGTCACTGAGATAATAGCCGTGTTCGGTGTTCGACTGGACGGGAACCATGTCCAGATATGCGGCCTGCTCCTGGAACCGAGGTTGGAATGACTACAGGACGCCGTGCAGGCTTGCATCATTCAGAGAACAGGCGTGCTGTGTGGGATGTGTGAGCATGCTATGTCGGCACGTCACGCTGCACTGTTACACTATGGGCACAATGTCACATCTTCCCATATCTGCATGTTCGAAGTCTTCCAGTTGCTGTCTGTCTCAATATCCCAGTGTCATTTGCTTGAGCTGTCCTTTTGTTCGTCCTGTCTGTCCCTCCAGGCCCATCTGTCACTGACCGTCCCACTGTCATCTGCCTCACTGTCCCACCATCCCACCATCCCACTGTCCCAGCCGTCCCTCCTGTCCCAGCTGGCGGTCGCCCACCCGTCCCTTCACCAGATGGTCGGACTCGGCCGGGTCTCTCTCTCCAGACCGTCCTCTATTTGTTGTAGCCGCCGGCCGTGACGCGCCGTGTCCGGCATCTGCCGGCGCTGCGCCGCGGAGCGGATTTTCACGGTTCATTAGTGAGAGTTGGGAGCCGCCGCCGCCGCCACACGCTCTCCCATTACACGCAGCCATTATGACTGCCTCTAATCGGAGCGGTAGTCATTCATAGTGCGCGACGCCGGACGGCGGTGAGGGAGGATTACCACGGCTGGGCCCGCGGCGGCGACACAAAAAGACCCAGCCGCCTGTCGAGAGGGGGGGGGGGGGGAGTGAATGGCGCGCGGAGGATAACGGCCCTGGTGACTGCCGCCTTTGGCGGGCGGCCATATGTGTAACGATGTGACCCGAACGGGGGTGGGGGTGGGGGATCTGGGGCGAATATGACTGTGGCGATGGCGGGGACAAGAACTGAAGAGTGCACGAGTCGCGACTCGACTCAAGGAGAGAGAAAAAAGAAAAAAGCTTCCAGCACGTAGCTGGTACTTTGTCCTACCTTCCAGTACGGCGGTATAAGCCGCTCCTAGAACTGAACCGGCGTCTCCCTGGTAGAATTGTTCTCTGAACACGTGCTATTGTTGTACACCACTAGCGTGTCACATGCAACCCAGACCGGCGCGGCCTGCAGCCATGCCGCCGCGGTATTGAATAGAGCGATGGTCCGGCGCCGCGCGGGCCTATCGACGGTGTCGTGAGACGTGTTCAACACACTCCACTGATCGGCACACGAGCACACGGCGCCAAAAAACAAACCCGGGTCTCGTGTTTCAAGATCGTGTCGGTGAAGTCTATTCAGGCGATATTTATATGTTGTTGAGGTTTACCTGCGAAATTCCACGGCATATTAGGTGGAATTCGTTTGAAACGTGGAGGGATAGTTGGTTGTTTTCGTTCGGCCAGTTTCCTTGTTAAACATGGTTCAAAACAAGTTGGTAACTAATACGAAGTTTAAAAGAGACTGACAGGGAACAATCCTGATAATGTTGCATTTTTCAGGTGTCCGCACGCCAATTAAATGTTAAAGGAGCATGTTGCGCATGCTGTTCGGCTGCTATCGCTGTTATGTTAGCATTTAAGCACCGATATGACGTGTGTGCACGTTTGCGATTGTTTGATTCGGGGGAACATCCTTGTCCATTTTCCGAGCCGTTCTTGATGACCCTTTTACCAGCCACGTCAACTTGTCAGCCACTTGTCACTGCGTATGAACTTGTCAGCCACGTCAGCCGGTCCCGTAGCTCAGTTGGTTAGAGCGTTGGACTCCGCGTGGTGAGAGCACGCGTTCCCGGTTATAACAGTCCGGGTTCGAAGCGCGACGGGCGCTCGACATTTATGGGCCTCCTGACAGGTATGGTTGCGGTTGGTGGCAGGCCGTAGCCAGGCGAAGTCAGCGAGGGGACCGGCCGTGCGCGGCTTTGTGCGCACGTTAAACTTTGGACTCTAAATTCTGCCATAGAATCGGAATTGCGCGATCGGAGGGTAGAGGGCAGGGTCACCGCAACAAGCTTCGCTTAGCGGTGGCTCTGTCCTTGTGAATCCTTCCCATCAAAAGGTTCGGACAAAATTTATAAAAAAAAAAAACTTCTTCAAATAACTACAGCGGCGAACCAAGCTAAAACCGCTTGAGCTTGTGCGGGATTAGCGTGTTCTCTTTTGCCCGCAAAGCTGGCATACTTCCTAAAATGATCTAATCGGGTAGTCGGCACCCAGGTCGCTATTAGCCGCGCTCAGAGTGGATGCTCGGTTTGCCCTGCGCTCCACCGCAGACCGGTCTTACTGGTCGCGCCGCCTACTCAGTCTCAGCTATTCAGCTCAGCTCGGCAGTGCTGAGCCGGCAGCCTGCGGTCCCGTGCTGAGCAGCTCCTGCCGGCTGTGAGGGTTTCTGGTTACAGTGCCGGCCGCAGTAAGAGGATCACTGGATGTCGGCTGACCGCGCGCCGGGTCGGGTCAAAGGGGACGCGGGTGGCCCCTTTGATGTGTCCCTCTCGATATAGACAACAGACGTGTCACCGATGTGTTGAAACGTGTGACCGGGTACAAGGTGTAGGGTTCGGTGCACACTGCACGGGATACGAACAGCTACCAGGCCCGCTATCGGGAGAACAGGCTAAGTTCAGTTGAACCCTTCGAAATGCTGCACCTCATAGGCAAATGTCATTAGAACTCAGCTGTCAAAGCATCATAATTTTTTACGTATTGATTCGACCATGCGTAACGGTTAGTTATCGCACAAAGATAACTGAGGTTCTGGCCAGCGGGAAACGGACGGGAGGCCGGCGCAGCGACCATCGTGGGTTGGAGGCTGGGGCGGGGAGGGGACGGGAGAGGAGAACGGGGCAGTAAAGTACACACGGCCGGGCCGCCGGCAGTGATAACACCCTAGAGTGACAAACAGGGGAGGCGGGCTGACCGCGGAGCCTCACAGAGAGTCAGTCGCCGCGCGGGGGCGAGAGGAGACGACGCTGTGCGGTGAGGCGACCCGCCCCCATCCCCATCATGCCACCTAACCTCGTCTCACATTCCTTTCCTTGCCCCTTTCAGGGCCTCCTCTAACATACCCACTGGGTGGGCAAATGCCCACCCAGTCACCACAATTGCCCACCCAGTGGCGTCGATTTGCCCACCCAGAAGCAAATGCAAAAATTCTGGTCCGGCCGGACGTCCGGTACTACCTTTCTGGTCTTAAGCAAACTGGATGCTGTTTGAAGGTCAAAAAAGTTTTCTGGTTGCCCGATATTCAGGGGCGTAGCCAAGATTTCCTCAAGGAGGGGGCCAAACGCACAGGGGCCCAAGATAACCCCCTCAAAATCCAAAAAGCCATCTGGTTGCATCCAATATTTTTTGGAGGGGGCCCAAATAAATAGGAAAAAATATTTATTAACAAAAATATTAGAACTTAGGGGGTGAGCAGTCCATGGGCCCTGTTAGATAGGCCCACGAATAGCTTCATAGAGTCGCCAGTCGGTTTTGAGGGCGGTCTGAGGGCCCGTAGGTCGGATGAGGGTTCTTCAGACCGTCAGAGGCCCCTACAGCGCATGAGAGCCTCGTAAGCCGTCTGAGGGTCATATAAGCCGCCTAAGGGCCACTAAGACCGACAAAAGCCCTCCTTGCACTTGCAGAGGCCCAGTCATGCCGACGGAGGGCTCTCTTAGACAAACTAAGGACCCGTTCAGGGCATTTGAGGGCTTTCTCAAACCGATAGGGCCCTCTCAAATCGACAGTGGATCCGATCCGAGCTCCCTCAAACCGATATAGGGTCAGACCAACAGTCGGAACGCATTGATTCTGTTTACACACCGTTGGACCCAAGTTGGACCCATCCCATCCAACTGGCCCCCTGGTTTCAATAGGGCCCCAAGGCTCTAAAATTGGGGCTCTCTTGGCCAAAGTATAACTACTCAGCTGTGTCAAAGGATCTGCCGCAGGGGCCTTTGCGTCGCCAAGGGCCCACTGTGTCAGCCAGGGGCCCCTATAGAATAAGGACCCCTGGCTTCCAGGGGGGGCATGGTCCCTTTGGCCCCCTCATTGGCTATGCCACTGCAGGTGACAAACGTTCTTCCAGGCGACCAGGGGGCAGGGGCCAGGCGACCAGGCCCCCAGGCGACCAGGGGCCCCCAGGCGACTAGCCCTCAAGCGACCGGGGCCCCCTAGGCGACCAGGGGCCCCAGAAAACCGGGGGTCATCGGATGAGTGCAGGGGCCCATTGGGTCATCAGAAGGCCAGAGAAATGAAACTTCGATATCAATTTTCTTCCGAGTAAAAGACGTTTTATCCAGTGTTTGAAAAAAATATCCCGGGGCCTCCCATGGCGCGTTTTGCGCTCAAGGGAGGGGGCCATTGCCCCCGTGGCCCCTCCCCCTTGGCTACGCCCCTGCCGATATTGTTATTCATGGACAAAGCCAGCTAAATCTCTAATACGGCTGAGCTGAACAAATAAGCAAGAATCATTACCGGTTCGGGTAGCCTTTACTACAATGTATTATGTTAGTTAGCCCTCGCCCGATGAGAGGGGTTGATGCACCCCCCTAAGGTTTTTCACAAATAACGTAAAAACGGCGGCGCTCAAATTTCGCATACCCTCTGGGGCAACCTTTTGGCAC